ACCCCCCCCCCCCCCCCAAAAGAGAGGTAAGGTATAGAGGTCAAGGTTGTTTGCGACTTTCTAAACTTGCTCCCTACAGCATCCTGAAGAAGAGAGATCTCTGTAATCCTGACATATTCCCTACATATCCTTGTATTCCCAAGAGCCCCCGCATTTCTGACAAAGCCCCGGGTAAAATCATTCTGTGCCATCGCGTGTGGTCAGCGGTATTTGTTTGGAACGTTTGTCAGTTGGGTTAGCTTCACTTTGTCTGTTCGCTGCTCCTTCATTCTCAGCAGGAGGTGCTTCTGGTGCACAAACAGATCACTGCTTTGTTGCAGGTCAGACATGACAGGTTTGCCACATTGGACTTCGCAGTAAGTCTTGGTGTATGGTTCCATGTCTTGCGGCAATTAGGCTTGCAGATGCTGTTTTCTTGATGCCATTACCGAAAAGACGAGCCCATGGCAAAAGTTCTTCAGTGCGCATCGTGCCGGCAACCCGCAACTCAGCTGTTGACAACAATCGTTCTTACTGTTTAGGTCTTCAGGTGATTAGTCTGCTTATGATTGCCAGAAGTAAACGTGTGACCTTTCACGGGTAGCCCAGGTAGCCTCCTCCAGCGATATCATCATGGAGACATTTGAGCAAACCGGAGCAATGCGGGACATGTGGTACCCCTCAAAGCTGGACCTGCTGGATCTGGAAGATGTCCCGACTTACGGCGGGATGACCAATCGTGCTCTGCTTAAGAACCTGGGCCTGACTGAGCAGGAGTTGGATCAGCAATCTCGCCAGAGCTATGTGGTTCGGTTGACTGTCACACCAGATATTCTTGAAGGCTTTTGTGCAGAAGAAGAAGCACCAGATCCCACAAACAGCTGGTTCCCTCCTTATGAGTGGACAAACCTTTACTGCAAGACTTGTGACGAGAGCCTGGGTTGGCTGTTCACGCTTCCTGACTTGGACACATCAGCGCCTAGCCAGGCATCAAATGTCTCTGGGTCCAAGCCATGGGGAAGCTGTTGCCGTCGTAGGCCACAACCCGTTGAAGACCCTGTTGAAGAGCCTCCGAGCGATCCCTTTATTGCTTTGCGGGTCACATCGCTTCGCGAAGGCACCCGGGCAGAGTTCCGCGCCCCTGCAGCTGCTTGAGAAAATTGGACAACACTTTTGATTTCGGAATGCCCTAGTCCTGATAAGCTCCCTATACGCGAATAGCAATTTGGTTTTGAGGCTGCGGCACCAAAACGGCAAGCTCGAAATCGACGCAGACGACGGTAACGCAGAAATGAGTAGTTTCCTGAACTAGGCTCCCATAAAAAAATGGCTCGTATGGGGTTAGGGCTTAAGCGTATGTGCCGTTGTGCATTTGGGATCCTGGTGTTGGAAACTGCCTGGATGAATCCGGCGCAGCGAAGCGCTCACAAGGTGTAAAAGATGAGCTGTTTTTGAGAGCTTTCAGCAAAGCAGCCTAAATTGTTATGGCTCATCGTTCATGGTTCGCGCTGCTTCATGGGAAATGCTGCAGGTATCTTTGCTACGGCATCCTTGCATTTCCCATAGCGAGGGTTCTTGACTCGTACTTCTTCGTTGCGGGATGACTCTTGCTGCGACATTACCTTGCAAATCCACTGCGAGAAGACTTTTGCTGCAACATTTCCTTGCAAATCACTCTTCTGTGGTCGGTGAAGATTCCTCAAGCCATCATAGTGCTCTATATAGGGCGCAAAGCCTAGTTCCGGGTCCACGAAGACTTTGCATTCTAGAGCAAGTTATGGACCAGCGCGCAGGTCAAAGGGCCAGTGTCGTCAGAGGCTTGGGTGTCCAAACCAAATTTGCAACACCGTGAAGCCCCGTGGTTATCCTGTGCGTTCTGCACAGGTCAAGAAGCGAATATGGCTACAGTACAAAGCTGGATGATTGCAGTTGCGAGATCCCTAGAAGACCCGTATAAGCACCCAGTTTCCATTAATCTTCCATTTTTCTTCGTTGATTCTCCATTATTAGGGAATAATACGCCCACACACAACGTTTGTGTAACCCCAACATATTCCCCCAAAAACCCCTCTGAGACTGACACGCCCAAGCGTCCCTGGACCTCCCAAATGCGCATACAAAATGGCCTGTTAAAGGGGCTATATAGAATCTTTATTGGGGGGTTATAGACCTCCCAAGTAGCCAGAATCATAGCCAATCCATTACTTGGGGTTGAAGGTTATTACTCTGGGCATTTGGCAGGTCCAGGTACCTTCAACCCCTAGCCACCCGAGCCGTAGAAAATCCAGGAGCCGGCTTCCTGAGAGCGGAGGATCTCTGCAACATGCGACCGAAGCGGTCTGCATGATGATCGCGCATGGTTCGGGACAGGGTTAGTTGAAATGACATGTTTTTTTGACAAGTTGCGTTGCAAAAATCATTTTAAAACGTTGCTCAGGATGATAGCATACGTGAGCTATAGCATCAACAGTCACAGGCAACAAGTGAAATTACAAACCGCAATAACAATCAAATTTATAATGACCTGCAGCTCTGTATGCGAAGCTCATGTTCATAGACAGGTCATGGTCAAAGAATGATGGTTTTTCCAACGGTTTAAGCACAGAGTCCAGCAGAAAGGCGATGGGAATTCAGCCACTAATTGTCACAAATTCCCACCCAAGCCCTGTACCCTGCACCCCTGATCCCTCCGCCTTGTCACTTCATGAGCTTTGTTCATACGTGCGCCGTGGGACGGACAAAAAGCTGCCGCCGTGCCAAGAAAAATCCTACCCGTAATATCGTGGGGCTTTGGAGGCGCAAGGTTGAGGTTTTGGTTTTATTCACAGAAAGACAGCGCTCAATCTCGAACAGTTTTTGCAAGCATGGCTCCTATGCAGCAGTCCGTGGCGCCATCAACATATGAGGATCCGACGAGTCAGCAACCGTACGTGTCCAACATTATTCGACCACGCATTGCAATCCGGAACAACAAGCCCCAAAGGAGGTCGCTGATTGTTGAGGCATCCACCTGGCACAGCCGCCCATTGTGAGCCTAAACTTTAGCCTGAGCTTCGGCTTTTTATCAATTTCAGCCCGAAACCTCAAGCTTTAAGTCTAAATTATTGAGCCATACGCCCGAAACCATACTGTTGATATTAGAAATCCGGCGTGACCTTTGCATACTGTAGTACCATTCTTACCGAGGTATAAGGTACTCAAGGTCATGCAGGATTGTTGGTATCAACCCTCTAACAGCATAAGCCATAAACTGTCCCAGTGTCCAGTTCATGTTCCGTTTTGTTTTCCGTTTGATCCTCCATCATTGGGCTCTTCTTCCATGAGTCCTATATAACCCCTGTATATACCGATTCAACTTTGTGTACCCTAAACCCTAGACCCTAAAGCCCAGGTGAGTGCTGCCTCCCTGCAGATAGATGTATTTGTTTGGGCTATGCACCTCTGCATTGTGCTGCCCAGGCCCGTGCTTAGGATTTTATGTATTTTTCCAATTTATGTTTTTAGGGTTTCAGGGTTTTAAGGTTTTAGGGTTTTGGGGTATTACGGTTTTGGGTTTTAGGGTTGAGGGCTAACGTTTGGAGATGTTGGTTTTGTGTGGTCCTCAAGTGGATAACCAAGTCCAGTACGTGTGGTTTCGAGTTGATTGCATAGGCTTGGGTGTAAGGCATAAGGTTTCGGATGCAGGCAAGAGGTGCTTCAAGCGCAGCAGGTGTTTCAACCACTTTTTTCAGTCTTAACACGCCCTACTAGTAGGGATGATTTGGTCTTGAATTGCTTTGACCATCATATGTTCCTCAATAGTTGCTTGAGTTGGTTGCTGTTTTCTTCCCACTTGTCTTTCCTGCAGGCAACATTTCAAGGTTTACAGGTTTTAGGTTGACTTTTCTTGTCCTTCAGTCGAATCATGATGTCAGGTCAAGGGTAAGGGTAGCCTGCTTGGTGGGTAGTCTAAGACGTGCAGGCAAAGTTTGGGGCCTGTAGGAGCATGAAGTAGGATTCTCCGATTTAGGATTTGATCTCAGGGTTCGGCTGTTGTTTGATGAATTTTTCATGTTTTTAAGCAGAGTGGCGTTTATTAAGCGCCCTGGTTTTCAACACTAATGAGACGCGTTCCACCCCCCAAACTATCTAAATAAACTCTCGGCACCGGCGCTGGTGCTCTCTTTTTTGGTGCTTATGGAATATAAGCAACGGTGCGCACGTACAGGACCTAGAACCTGAAAGCCTTAGTAGGTTCCTTGATCACGGCCAGGCAGGCTGTGAGAAGTGCGTAGCCATCTTGCTTCGTGCTGGAGCCGACATGCAACTCTGCTTACAGTTGTCTTTCCCTTTCATTTTCCATGTCATTTTTTTTTCGATGTTCTTTCCATTCAGTTCTCCATTATTGGGCAGCATATCATACCTGTATACCTGCACATATGGCCCGATATAACCCTAGGTTTGAGGTGCTTAATTATCCTCAGGATCAACTAGCAAAGGTTTCCTGAGGAGCTATATTCAACATGTGCTTTTTTTGGAGGGGCTATCAAAGGGTAAGGGCTTTCTAGACTTCTGGAGGTAGGGCATCCTAGGAATCAATCATACGGTAGTTCCTGGTGAGGGATTTTCTGGGCTTGCATAACTTGCATCGCACACTTCCCTCAAATGCAACGTTTACCATTACAAGCATTCGCCAGGAAAGAGGTGCAAATTTGAGCAGACAACATCTGAATATCCATATCCCCGTCTAAGCCCCATAAGCTACAGGAAGGCTTGATTTCGAAGAGCCCCCCAGTATTTACAGTATGCTAGGCCTGGGCTTGAAGGGACTGCTCAAGCGATCACTCCCTGATCTTGAGTGATTCGTCATGATTGGTTGGTGGGCTTCGTACTCAAACCTGAAACGTTCTGGGAGTCTGTTGATCATTGTGTAAAGTCCCCGCTTACAGAATGGATGGGGGCTACCAGATTAGAAGAGCGATGCAACAGCCAGTGCCTTGAGGATTCAAACTTCCACATCAAATTCCGGAGAAACGTCTCCTCCATCAGCAGCAGTAGCAGCAGGAGCAGCAGTAGTAGCAGTAGCAGTAGCAGTAGTAGCGGAAGCAGTAGCAGCAGCAGTAGCAGTAGCAGTAGCAGCAGTAGCAGTAGCAGCAGTAGCAGTAGCAGCAGTAGGAGAAGCAGGAGTAGTAGCAGTAGCAGAATAGCAGAAGCAGTAGCAGAAGCAGCAGCAGCACCAGTAGCAGCACCAGCAGCAGCAATAGGAGCAGTAGACAAGCTCATTACGCCGGCCAAATATGGAAACCAAATGGTGATGCGTTCCTCAACAATGGCTTCCTCCCGCCCTGGTTACCAGTTTCACCAAAATGTCGACTAGTACAGGTTGGGATGTTAGGTGGAGGAGGAGCCGGGTCCGCCCCTTCCCTCCAGTATTAAACATCTACCCCTCCATGCTGCTGATACCGTGCCAAATATGACAGCGAATGCGGCGCTTGATTCATATTAGTTGAAAGAACAAGAGTAACAGTCAGCCCTCGGGCAGGGCCGTCCTGTCACAGCAATATCGTAAGCAATTTGGCCTGGCCACAGGGGGCTACACCTTCTGCTGCTTCGACACACTTTGAATGGGGGGTCTTCCGCAGGTTTAGGGTTTCGGGCAGGGGCCCAGGTTGTCGAAGATCCGTTGTTGATGTCGATAGCGTTCAGGGTTCGACTTACAGATCCTCTTATCTTGAGCGCGTGGCTTCTTAAGGCGTACAGAATCTCTGAGAAACATGTGGAGGCTCTGAAAAGATTCTTCTGAAGTAGATGATGATGCCATCTGGATGTAACCAGTCTTCATGCATGCTGCAGAGGGGTTCGTGGTTAGGACATCAGAACCATGCGAAGGCTGGTGAAGATGTTGAATCTTTTTGAGAACCGACCGGCATGAGAACCGGGAACCGCCGGTAAAGCGGTAGTAGCGACGGGTGAAGGGGCAAGGCATGGAGGACATCAATGAACCAATCAGTTGAACTTTGCGCCTATAGCTTGGAAGCTATCTGCCCCATATCTTGGTTCTGCTGCTGCCCAGGTTTTCTTCCATCTCTTATTGAATTCTTGACACACACACGCACGGCCTGAGCGAAGCAGACGGTCTGCTTTGACGTGCATATCTTCCCAGTTAGACTTCAGTTGAATGCAGGGGATGGCTGAACTGGTCCAAGGTCACTCGTACATACTGACAACTGTGCAAATTCCTTGGCATAGGCATTTGCCTCAGATGGACAACTCTGTTAGACACCAGGCCCAGCCCTAGCCCAGCATTCGTCAGGACAATCCTGCCAAAAGTGCCACCATAAATGAATCCTATCTCCATCATCAAACCCCAGGCAACTTAACAAACATAGCGACGACCAACAACAGCATGGTATCAATTCTCATGAGGACTGCACCGCAAGCATTTAGCATTTTCACAGCCGCCAACTTTTTACCCTTGCTTAACGTGGGAGCGGGGCAGTGACCTTGGAAAAGATCATTTTGAATTAGAGCTTTTTTATGGGACCCTTTTCCTCTTGGAATACCAAGGAGTTTACGCTTTAGGGTGCTGCTGCAGACAAGCTGGCTGGCTGGCAACCTCGTACTGTACGGGGTCCCGGCCAAGCGCACTAGAAGAGGAATGAAGAAGGAAGCTGATGCCCGGGTAAGCGAGGATTGGGTTCAGGTATACATAAGACGGTAACATGCTCCCCAGCAAATACTCTAAACCTGAGAGCCCCAACCCTGAAACCCACAAACCTACATTCCCTGAACCCTAAACCCTAAGCCTGGACCCCCCGCCCTATAAAAGTGAAGAGGACCCCAACATGATCACCATTATCCCTTACATAGTCACTATTCCTTAACCACCCTAAACCCTAAACCTAAACCCCAAACCCCAAACCCTAAACCCCAAACCCAATAACCCTATACCAAAGTAAGCCTTTTTGGCAGAAGGCCCCTAGCCTGGCATACCTCGGATCTGCTCGGCATTCCTAGGCTCAAGTCTCAAAACTTCAGGAATTGTTTTTCTGTGGGGGGTTTAGTGTTTAGGGCTTAGGGTTTAGGGCTTGTGGGTTTAGGGTTTACGGCTTGTGGGTTTAGGGTTCAGGGTGTAGGGCTTGCGGGTTTCGGGCATGTGGGTTTAGGGTTTGCGGGTTTTGGGTTTGTAGGTTTGTAGGTTTGGGCTCTAAGGTTTGTAGGTTTGTGGGCTTGGGCTGTAGGGTTTAGGGTTTGTGTTTGTGGGGGGATATATGCCCCAACACCAACGAGTCCCTTCTTTGGAGAGGCTTTTTCAGGGATGCGTAGGGGTGTGCAGATATGGGAATATTGGGTTCTTGGGAACATCAT